GTGTCCCTGCGGCTGGGGCGTGAGTAGCATGTCTGTGGGCTGCGCTATTGGGGGTGTGTGGCCCCACAGGGTTGGGTCGGGGTGCCTGCACCCCTGCGAGGGGGCTTGCCAAAAGGGTGCTTTGTGGTGACACAGGCATCCCTGTGTGCTGGATGGGCTGTAGGATGGGGAACCCCTCGCTGACTGTCACTTACCTCTGGACCCCAGACCTGCCGGGAGTCCCCTTTGTGTCCTGCAGAGCGTCTGACTATGAGAATTTCTCTTGCTCCTGGACCTCCAGTGTGGAGACCTTCCTCCCCACCAGATACATCACCACATACAGGTGCTGTATCCCCACAGGGCATGGATGGTGGGGGTTATGGGTTGAGCTCTGGGTCCAGCCACCAAATCCAACTGGCCATCCGACCCATGTCCTGGGTTCACCTCCTGCCGCAAGGACCGTGGTGCACCCCAGCATGTTTTGGGGTGAGCAGAGCACCAAGCATTTGCATGCTCCAAGGAGGGGCCTCATCAGCACTGGGGGGCTGGCATAGGCAGGCTCATTCCCTGCTGATAGTTCTGCCAGCTCCAGAAGGGATAGAAAAGAGAAGCAGGTCATCTGCAAGCCGCTGCGCTCCAGCATGCTTTGGGATGAAAGGAACCCTGACAGCATCACTGCTTCTAATTATCCCTGCAAGCCAAATTAGCACATAGCTTTGAAGTCAGATGGAGTTCATAAAGTGCAGCCCTGCTGAAAGCTGCAGGAGCTAGGGGCTTGGTGAGGAGGTGGCTTCATAGAGCATCAGGGGCTCCACAGGGAGGGGGTAGTGGGAAGCAGGGGATTTGGGCAGCTGTAGGAGAAGGGTGAAGCCAGCCAAGGAGCTGCTTTTATCAGCATCTCCATATCTCCAGTGCTGCTGTGTGATGAAACCCCAGACAGGGGGATGGGGTCCTTCAGGGAAGACTCTCTTGGGCACCTCACCATTTCTTTTCCCTGGGACCCCCAGTTCCTCCTGCCAGGCTTCTCATTAGCAGGTCTGTACACAATTTTAGTTCTGTCCCCCATGCTGTTATCTGTGTATGTCAATGTGGGAGTGGGGAGCTACTCTGCAGCGTGGAGACCCCTGTCCCTCCTCTGGGTCATGGTGGGGTTGGCTTCATGCTGTCCCCTCATCCTCATCATCTGCTTTTCCATCTGTCTCCATGGCAGGAAGAAGTCCCTGACAGGCGAAGACAAGTGGAGGTAGGACTGACTCCCACCCTAGAACTGCTCCCTGGGAACTGACCTGCATCCCAAAGGCTCTGCTGCTGTCTTCAGCAGGGACCCTAGAGCAGAAGCTGGGGTCCCCATCAGGGAGCCAG